AATAACATCAAAGACACCAGCAAATGAAGGCTGTTCACAGGCAAATGAATCCCCAAAAGAACAAAAATATCAACTACAAAAAAAAATTCTTTCACTCACTTGTATCCGTACGCGTAGAGATACCGGCCGTTTGACTTTATCAAAAGCCGAAAGTCAAAAGCCTTTGTTCAGGTTGACTTTGACCTCCTCAAGAAAAAAGCTATTCATCAACCTCCTCCTGAACTTGTCCTTCTGCAGGTTTAAATTTATAGACAAAATAGATTAATACAATCTTAAAAACAAAAAGGAAATAGCATAATAATTACCGGCGAGTTTGACAGCCAAGTTAGCCTGAGCATCAGCATCAGAGTTCAAGTCCTTCAACAAAGACAACATAACATAACATAACAAGTTAGAATGTGCATTTGAAAATCACAATAAACGTGTATAATTTGGTACTAAGCTTTTACCCTTAGAACGTGCATAATTTGAAACGAGGCGAATTTATCCCTCAATTTCTTTGCCTCTTCAAACAAGGTGGAGATGTTTTGGTTTTTAGCTCCCCATTGACCTTGCATCTGTTGAGAAAGAAACTCAAAATATATAATTATATTATTAATCAATTTAAACAAAGAAGTAAAAATTCGGAAACAAATACCTGCATGCATATGAGTTTCGAGTCACCCCGGACTCTAACGCTCGTGAAGCCTCTCCCGATTGCACCCTTCAATCCCAATATGAAGGCACGATATTCGGCAACATTATTGGTTGTTACACCTAGGCCTTCTCGCAATTTAAGAATCTAAAAGATACAATTGCCACATCAAAAAATAAAAAATAAAAAATACACAGAGAGAGATTTGTATATATAATTATATATTATGCTCACCAAACTTCCATTATCCGAACGCAGTATAGCTCCTGCGCCAGCCTGGCCCGGATTTCCTTTTGAGGCGCCATCAAACTCGAGTGTACATGATGTCTGACAAAACAGTTTTGCGCGGATAAATTTCTTTTAAGCGCACAATCATTAAAATATTTATTTGACCATTTTTTACAATTATTTTATTTTGTTTTGTTTTGGGAAATCCCTAATTCCTATCACAAATTTTCGAGCGCAACAAGATGTTAATTTGTTGAGATTAAACAATAAAATATACTCTTGAGGTTTATACTCTAAAATTAGAAATATGTAAGTATGAAATACACAAGATAATGATTTTATCTTACCCCATAATCGGACAATAAAGCTTCGTGCGACCTCTTCTTTGTCACAGGGGGCTCGCTGGAAGTCTCACTTGTAGAAGAAGAAATCTGTTGTGTATAGAAATGAAAAGGAAGAAAAAAGAGAGAGAAAAATACTAGGAAATCACGAAATAATTCAAGAAAAAATACAAATTGAGCTTATGCATGTACAAAAAATGATAGCTCTCTGCAGAATGAATGTAATATGTATTTTATCACATAACTTAATTGGGTCACATAATAAAAGAAGACGAGCACACTTTCTCAAAACCAGTAATTTACGGAGGTGAACGAATTGAAAATTTTACATCTGAAGATTAAATATGCCGACGACTGCAAGGCAGATCAGCTGATGAACACACGCACGGTATGAACTAGGGGAATGATTATTATTATTTTCGATTCTTTTCTTTTTTGGAAAAAAAATAAAAGATCAAATATATAAATATCAGCTGACCTGTACAGGACACTGCACAAGAGCCCCAAATAGTCCTTCTGTCAGATCAGAAGCTCTGATGGTGTATAACGCATTTTTAAGCCCGCAAGAGATGAGATACTTCTCTGTGTCCTTTGGCATGTTGCAACCTTTGAACACACTTACAGGAGGATCTGATATCTGACATACACAAATACGCAGACGAACACGCGCAGACGGAGCAGAAATATCATTCTTCAATTTTCCGGTGAAGTAGAATGAGAAGGTAACAAAACAGGAACCGGCATTTTTATACATCACTTGTCACTCATGTGCACATTAGCGGAAACTATTTTATTCACATGTAAGATTACGAATGAGCTCCCACAAAAACAAAACTTCAGATTAGTGAAGAAGCAGATGGGAGAGACTTAGCTCGAACAGACCATATTGATTCGGAAACTAAAGATATAAAGATAAAGAAAAACCCAGTAAATACACAACAATGAACGATCGAGATTAAGCAATTCAAGAAGAACCAGAAATAGCAACAATTTAAAGGAAAATTGAGCATAACGAATCAAGGTTGTATACACTATACAAATCACCAAAAGCATACACTTTTGCAAATTTATAAGCAAATATGAGTNAACAAAAACAAAAACAAAAAGATAACCATTCACATGTCAAGTCCAAGAGACAAAGCGATTTACCGAGGTACCAACTTGAGCCTGACAATCACTTAAGCTTTTGTAGACACCTACAACATCGCCTTTGCGAACAACAAAGAATTCCTCCTTGTCCTTCATCAGTGGTTTCGCCTCGACTTTCCTCTTATGTGAACTTCCGGTCGAGGCCTTTTTCGAATAATAGCACTTCGACTGAAATCTTGTCACAAACAACCCCAAGTTTACTTTTCCACCACCTGAGTTTGTGAAGCACGCCACCCGAGAGGGATATAAGTACCCACAAGATGGGCTCTTTCGAACAAGAAAGCTGCCCCTCGATAATATATTCGAACAACACGTATGGAACAAACCAATCATTCCAGAGTTGTCTCCTTTGTGTCCACAAATATTCTGCAATCATGATAATTCATAACCACATTTTCTTCACTCATGGAGAATTTCAAAACAAATGCATAAGAAAAACACAGATGAACATACATACTATCTCAGGAAACAAACTAGAGTAATTAACAAGTCCAAACATATCGCAACAAAAAAAAGGGGAAGAAGACAGTAATATTGAAAATTTTGACCTAATTAATGAAGGCCCATCTGTTTAACAACCGAGTTTATCAAAGCAAACAGCTCAATAATACAAAACAACCAACATTTCAAGCCTCGCTTTAAAGAACCGAGTTAACAAAGGAACGTAAGCGTAAAAGGAGAAAATTATAGTATAAGAACAAACAAAACAAAGAAGTTACAGATTCAGCTCAAAAAACGGCAAAATCGAAATCGAAACAAAACGGAGATCAGATCAACAAATACCTTAAATCTAAGTGAGCTCCAAAACCTCCGGTGAATTTCAAAACCCTTTACACTCACTCTGCATCTTCAAAGGTTCAAGCATTCCAGCTCGGTTGGGTCGGGCCGTCGTGGACAAAATTTGAGGTAACAATTTTTTTAATGCTAAATGGGTTTTTATGTTTGATCTGGGCTTTTTATTTTCTAGCCTCACAATGGGTTGTCATGGCCTGGCCCATAGGCGACTGGCCCGCTGAATATTTAAAAAAACAAAAAAAAGGAGAACCTGTGAGCAAAATTTTTGCTGCAAAAAACTGGTAGCCAAAAAAACAGATTCACACCAAAATCAACCTAGACAGATTACAGAAGAAAGAGACAAACAATTGAATACGGATGTAAATGGGTCGGGTTGGGTACGAGTTTTGGCAACCCGAATCCGACCCGCATGTAATTTACCTTACCCAAACTCGACCCGTTACCCGGTTAGTGATCTTCGGGTTCGGGTTGGGTTTTATCCGGCGGGTTAGTGGGTTTTCGTCGGATAAACGGGTAACCGGAGTTTTAAATTTGGGCTTTACCCGACCCATCTCTTTTCATATGAAAAAATAAAATAAAATAAGTTCACAATTAATTATAATGTAACAAATAATTTTTTAACAATAAAAAACTATAAAAAAAATTATATTATTTTTTGAAATAAATAAGGAGATATAATTATTTATCTTTTATACTCTATTTAATATTATAACATTTAAAAATTAAGTATTTAATTTTTATATTATACAATTAACAAAAAATGATAATAAAATCATAAAAAATAAAATAAAATTTAACCATTAATCAAAATTATAATAGATAATATTATTTTTAAAAATAACACATGACTACTTTTATATTTATAATAAGTTATAGATACATATATATATATATATGCATATATAAGATTAAATGGTTGCGGGTAAACGAGTAGGGTAATCGGGTCGAGTAATGGGTTTTCCTACTATACCCGCACCCAACCCGACCCGGGGTCCGGGTAGCATAATTCTACCCGAACCCAAACCAAAACCCAATCATCTCGGGTTTACCCGACTGGAAAATGCGGGTAACCCGACCCTACGGATTTTATTGACATCATAGACATACTAGTCACCAGATTTAAATTCACACACCAGTCACCAAATTTCAATTGAACAAAGACACGCCAGTCACCACATTTCATTTCATTCCTCAGAGTCACTCTAAGTGTCGCTGACTTGCCGCCCGCCGCTCGAGCCTCGAAGGTGTCGCTTCCTCCGATCCTCTCCGGATGGAGATGCGCCGTTACGTCGCAGAGACTTGAGAGAATAAGGTTGAGAGTACAGACAACTGAAAGAGGCTTGAATCTTGGTAAGAGATTATGAGAGATTAGGGTTTTCTGGTTTAGGATTAGGAGACCGTCTGTTTGGTGTGTTAAGTCAGAAGCGTGTCAGGAATGAGAGTAGTTAAAAGTCGTTTCTTTTTCTAACAACGGCGTCTAGCCCGGCCCGCACAGGCCAACCCACTGCACTTTGGCGGGTCTTTAAATTTTAATGCAGCAGCCCAATAATAGGCGTGGTGGGGCGGCCCGCGGGCCCAAATCCATTTTGACGAGCTTGGCTTGATTGTTTATGAAATAATTTGTTCAAATGAGTTACTTTGGTTAATCATAGTTAATTTTAAAAAATGTGATATGATTAGTTGTTAGTGGAATTTTAGGAATGTATTAAAATAATATTTAAAATAAAATGATTAAAATTGATTTGATGTAAAAGTAGGAGATAAATGATTAAAAATGATTGGAAATGATAGGTAGTTAAAATTATGTGAGTTAATGAATTGTGAATTAAAGTTGATGTGATGTGTAAGAATGATTGGTTTGTATTATTTAATTATATGAATAATATTAAATATAGTTGAATTGAGTTAAAGTTAAATTAAATTTTGAGTATAAAAAAAAGGTGAGTAAAATAATTCATAAACAATCAAACCCTTACTCTTCGATCGGGCAAAAGTTTAAGAACTGATTTACACAATTTACCAATAAAGTAGATACGTCATATTGTAACAATTTCAACTAAAATGAACTTCTTTACTTTTCTTATAAAAATATTAACTTTCTTAGGTCATAATCATGTTTTGTTTGCAACTGTCAATTTTGTTTGCAAGGTTGTTGTTCGACAAAGATATTTTTTCAACAAATACTCATTTATTCAAACTCTACATAAAAAATAATAAATAAATAATATATCAACTTTTGCAACTTCATTATGCATGCATTTAAATTAGAACAGATCTATCTAATATTTTAACTGGTTGATACACGTTTATTTATACTTGGTTTTATATTAGTATTGATTCGACCTAACAAAGTTGCACGTTCTTAACGAAAAGAATGAATTGTCATTTTTGGATATAAAGTTTTGTAAAAGTTGACTTATTTAAGAACACCACTTTCCATAATAATCCCAATCAGCAAAAACAAGGGTCCCTTTTGTTAGGTCTAATTCTCTTAATATGTATATACTATATACACATATACAAGTTATAAAGTGAGCACTTACCAATATAGCCCACAGGAAAATAAGTATAAATTAATACACAACTTAAAAGCATGTCCTTTATATAATTGATTCTATTCTAATTGAGTGCTTTTCAGTTGAAATATTTAATGAAATTAAAGCTAATCTATTCTCCTTTAGGTTCAACATTAACTACAAAAGTACCAAACCCATCCCTACATTTTGGGATAATTTTAATTTTGTCATAAATTAGGGAGTTCAAATTATTGTACTAAAAAACATATGCACTTACCAAATTTTAAATTTTATGACAAGATAAACCTATAGTGGTAGTTGAGGTTGGTGTACATAAGATTGTCTTCTAAAATTATAGTACAAAATTAGTCATGTGTAGTCATATAAACTACAATAATGTATATCTAATATATATGGTGAACTTTCTTATTGAAAAATACAAGCATCCAATCATCCCAAAACTTTCATAACTTATAATAAAGAGTAATGCTATAGAGCCAACTTGAATGACAACTTAAGTTACAACTCAAGTGTAAATGCATTATTTTTTAACTTTTTGATAATACATTTATATTTGGGTTGTAACCCAAATTGTAATCCAAGTAAGCTAAATAGCATTACTCTATAATAAAAGGCTACAATTATGATAGTTTTATGCTTCTTGCTTGTTGTCCATAGTTTATTAAATGGCACTTGAAAGATTCTAACTCTATATATAACCGCAGTACTAAAATCTACACGCATTATATTGGGACAATTCAATTTTGGTATTATCAATTTTGCAATATCTTATACAGTTATCCATAGTTATTCAAAAGAATAATTTATTTTTATATAGAAAGGTTGATAATTACAGTCATTCACATCAACTATTTAAGATTACAACTTCAATTTGTCAAATCAAATCCAAGCTCCACCAAAGGTTGGAGTAATGGGCTTGTATCCATGCAACTCACAATCATATACCTAATCTTCATATGTTGATTGGCCCAAATCCTATGCCCAATTTGTTGATAATTAATTAAAATAAATATTTTCTCTTTTGTGGTGAATATTTATATCAAGCTAGAATCTCTAATGAACATAATTTCCAGAATATTTATCATATAAATGAGGAAAATAAAATATAGTAATAAATCTTATAAATTTATAATCGTTATTATTAGTACAAGAATGATGTTAAAGTTGTTAATTAAAAAAATATATATTCAAAAACTTAAAAAGAAAAATAGTTTTTTATTATAAATTACCAAACTTGTAAAACAACGATATTGACATTTAATTGTTTACACAAATGAATTTATATTCATTATAATTTTTTCTTTAAAATATTGTTTCTTTATTATTTTTTTAACCATTTCAAACTTTACTAATTGATGCTTATATAATCCAAAATTAAAAAATAAATAAAATAAAACCCACATGCGTTCATGTCTCCTATCCTATTTATATAATCCAAAGCAAACAAGCTAGTAAGTGAAACTATAATCCTCACACAACCAACAGTCCCTACTCACACACTTCTCGTGTGCTCTGACGAACTCTCCGACCAATATCCGGCGAACATTCCGATCAACGACCAGAGAAAGTCGAAGCCAATTCAATTGCATCCGACATGATGCGAAGAGGATGACGAGCGCTCGCCGGTGCTCAATTTGCCATGTCACTCAACTGCCCCGACCTTCTCTGCTGCGAGTCCTCCAGCACCGTATTCTCCGGCAACAGGGAGGATTACTCGCTGGAATACTCATCGGACCTCGAATCTCCGCCGCCGGACGGCGAGGAATCCATCGCCGGACTCCTGGAAGACGAGAGAGATCCGGCTCGAATTAGCTTCAATTTCAATAGCCAATCGATCAATGCTTCCGCTAGATCGGAATCTGTTGTTTGGATCCTCAAGGTAATCAATCTGCTTCTGAAAGAGTTTCGACGGTTACATTTGATTCCGGCTATCTCTATCGTGCGCAGTTGGCTGATTGTCTTGCGCAAGTTAGAACTGATTTCGGTTGTTGTACGCCGGGGCGCGTAGTTAGTGCTAGCTGGAGGTTAATGAATAAGTTGTTTACGGCGCACGATCGACTGAGGCTGATTCACGTTCTTTGTGCAGGTGCAAAGATTTTTCGGTTTTCAGCCGTTAACAGCGTATCTCGCCGTCAACTATTTCGATCGATTTATCTTCTCTCATCACACGCCGGTAAGACTTTCCGTCACCGTTAAATACTGCGTTGAATGAATGTTATGCGAGTTTAATGTTTATATTCCTTTTATTTCTAAATTTTCATTTATTTAATAGTTTTATTCTTTATTTTATTTTTTCTGTAGCCAGCAGCAGTAGTTAATTCTTAATTTTATTCTATCATTTATCTTTTTAAAAATCAAACCAACTTTTTTTTTGTGTGCTTTTTCTCAATAATAATAGTGAGATGTTTAGAGAGACCAATGGTGAAATAGTCCTATTTTTTCAATATATATATATAGTTATATATTTTTATTGAGAAAATAACGAGTCAGACCCCCCTAACAATCAGAGTAGCTCATACAAAAATCCTCCTTATATATCCTACTTATATATAATTACAGAATGCATTGAGTATAAGTGGCAGCTTCACATACTTCGTAATCTTATGTGACAAAATATTAAGCTTTGTAATATGGGTTGGATAAAAATTACTAATTTTTCTATACCAAAAAACTTAGGTTTAGATTGACATAAATACACATTTTTAACATATTTAAACTATTTTATATAAATTTATTTATTATCTTCTTATAAAATGTGCATATTATCTCACTTTTATTTATTATGTCGTCAATAATGTGCATATTATTTCATTTTTCGTGTTTTGTCTATATTATTTTCTTATGTGTTTTAAATAAAAAATTATATATTAAACTAATGGTGTAAATACTAAATAATTTAATTTTCAGAATTTAAAATAATATTTTTAATTCACTTAGTTCTTTATTATAAATTGTTATATGTTGTTTATTATATGTTTTTTTCCAACTTCAATAAAATATATTTTTTTTTAATTTTTTGTTGTACATTAATTATTTTATCAAAACACCCGTATAGTACACAGATATAATATCGTACTAGTGTAAAATTAGAACATGTTGTTCCTTTTATAACCAATTAATTCAACCTTATTAATAGAGCCATTTATAGGCGTTCACTTTTAATTGGTAGCATAATAAACAGTGACAAATACTACTTATATTGATTCCAGATTTGAAACTTTTATCATGTTCGTCTTTGTGTTTAATTCGACGTGTCTATGTTTATTTGATGTTTAATAATTAATGTTTGCTACGTAATAAGTGGAGTACAGACGTATGAATTGAGGAAGATTCCATGAATTAAAGGCAAACGAGCAGTCACATTTGGGTGTTTTTATTGATTTCTGCTTTTAGAATAATTGATCAATTGACACAAACTTATAACTAATCCAATTAATTAGACTTGGCCATAAATTTATTTATCAATTTTTCCTGTGTACTAATAGAGTAATAGTGTGGAAAAGTTATGCACGTAGAATATGACTTGTAAGGGACCCATATTACTGAAAAAATAGTAAAATTACTTAAAATGCTAGAACAGCAATGAAGTACGCAAATGATGACCAAAATATATACATTACCAACATTATCTTCTCTAAAGGTAGATAATGGGAAGACTCATTTGTCTCGTTACCCTAATGTTTTCCCTAATAAAATATATCGAATATATTTTAAAATAAAAACACATTCTTTGAGATGTCATTTCATAATATACAAATATACATACATATAACTGTGCTTGCTTGGTAAACATATAAGTTAGCTTATGAATTATTTGATTAACTTATAAGCGTATTGTATTCAAATAAACTTGATTTGGTAGGATTAGCTTTTCTAAAAAGCTCGAACTTATCGCATAAGCTTTATTGGGTAGCTTTTCAAATAAGTCTGATTGAAATTTTTATTTCAGCAAATTTATCAGCTAATTTTATTAAATACTTTTATCATATAAGTTAGTTTTTCAACCATAAGTCATAAGTTATCAGCTATAAACTCAAAAGACATTTAAAAATCATAAACTAACTTATCAGCCAAATTTACGAAATATTGCCTACATATCCAGCTTAATATAAGCATAAACATTTTTGTCAATCAAAACTAAATTTCAACTAATAATATTGTTTCTTTATATAACAATAATATATATTGACAGTTGGGCAAAAATCTTACATGTCTCAAAATTATTGCAGAAAATGTGCGGATGGGCCTTGCAACTATTGTCCATTGCATGCTTGTCATTAGCTGCTAAGATGGAGGAACCATTGGTCCCTTCTCTTTTGGATCTTCAGGTACATTACAAATAAACTTTTTCTTAAATCTGACAGTATTATTGATTTAACTCAATTGGGGTCTCTTACAAAATTAATCATACCTCAATAATATTTTTCCTTGTTTGATAATTATTATTATTACTATTATTATTATTAATAGGTCGAAGGTGCAAATTTTATTTTCGAACCGAGGACCGTCCAAAGAATGGAACTTCATGTCTTGAGGCTATTAGATTGGAGACTTAGATCCATTTCACCTTTTTGCTACCTTCGATTTTTGGCTCTAAAGATCGATCCAACTGGGACGTATACTGAATTTCTTATAACAAGGGCGAATGAAATTATCCTCTCGACTATTAAAGGTAATTTCGTAACACTTTTAAAGTATGTCATTTCAATTTAAAAGTATAAATATCAGTTTTATTGACTCGTATAGTTTTAAGTCTAAAAAGTAAAAACGGTGTTTTTTTTATTAATTTTTCATTATAAATATCAACAGAAAAAAATGTCTTCGAGTATAGGCCATCTTGCATTGCAACTACAGCAATACTTTGTGCAGCAAACGATACACCGAAATTCTCATACATTACTGCTCAACATGCCGAATCATGGTTTGATGGACTCCACAAAGTAAGAAAAAAAATAATGAACTAGATAATTGGCAAAAACTATTGAAGTATTATTTAAAAAAAAAAAAAAAAAAAAAANACTCGAGTGACTCGTCATCTTCTACTTCGTCATCTCCATCTTTTAAGAGAAGGAGATTAATTAAATGAACAGGGGTTTTAAGAAAAAAAAAAAAATGGATGATAATATTTGACATGAGTGCTCATATTGTTGATAAGTTATAATGCTATGCATTATGCCCCAATAATAGTGTTTTGGGGAGTTTAATGATGATAACCCCTTTTTGGTGGGCATTTTGCAGATTCCCAAGGGGTTTGGTAAATATTGTACTAAAGTGTGGATCTTGTTTTGGTGTGAGAAAGTTAAAAAAAAAATAAAATAAAAAAAAGAATGTTGTAGTCTTGTGGAGTTATGAATGAGTGGGGAGAGATTGAATTGAATTGTGTCATTGATTATTGAATAAAAGAAAGGGAGATAATATATTGGTGGGGGGCCAACTCAAGAGAGTGTTGTCAAAAAAATCAATGGAGTTGGCAGAGATTTGGACTGGGGCTTTGAAGTTTGTGCTGTTTAGTGAAAATTGAAGTCAAGCTCTTCCCCTGAAAGGAAGAATATAATAAGGTTCATTGCTCACCAAAGGACTTTCCTTTTTAGGTTATGTTTTTTCATCTCTTTTTGGTTGGATTTTTGAGTGATGGAGAGCATATAGCTTGTCAAATATATGAGTATGAGTGTTTTTTCTATTCATTTTCCCCCAAAATTTAGATTATTTTTTGTTTTTTTGGGGGGGTTTGTTGGAAGGATGGGAATGACTTTTTTCATGTAAATGGCCCAAAGTTGGCCAAACATTTGTAGGGAGGTCTTTGGGGCCTCTCTATATGAGCTTGTACATTTCATTTTGTGTAAGGTGTGGACTTTATCTATGTACAATAATCCATTTTAAATATCTATATCGAGTAATGGTTGGTCTCCTGATAGACTGTCTAATCATTAGGCAGAATATACGTACTTGAAAATATAATATAAATAAAAATATGACATTTCATAATATAAGTATATCTTTTTTGTTGAAAAAATATGAATGTTTAATAAGTAGACGCGTTCTACATTTAAAATCTATATATAATTCACTAAATTCGTGTGATAATAAGTGTAAATTTAATATCTAGTAACTGTATTAGTATCATTTGATTTTGCAAAACTCACAATTTTTATATGCATACATAATATCTTGTATTGTGTGGACGGTTTAACAGTTAGTCAGGTCGATTCGTCATATTATTTTAACAAAATTTCATATTTTTACTATTAATTTATTAAATATCATATTCTTGTTTATATTATTTGGTAAATATGAGGTTTTATAATCAAACTTCACATATCCCCATCCAAAGTACTAAACTTGATGAGTTGTTGCATTGGACCAAAAGGACAAGCAAAGGTCATCTTTCACGCAACTGGCAAACTTTGACTACACAGTTGCAGATTGTTGTGTAAATTCTTGATCTATGCAATTGTATCAATCTGTTCTGCTTGCTAAATGTCAGTATAAATTACAAGTCATATGAAAATAAGTTAGTAGATTAATTGCATAACTTCAAAATTTGGATTGTGACAGTAAAATTATATTCTATATATTAGGCCCTGTGGGATCCAGCCAAGTAGTAAACAATAAAAGCCAAAGCAACTTTCGGTGAAAAAAATAAAATAAAAAAAATAAAGAAAAATAAAGAAAGAAAGAGGAAGGTGTTAGCCGAATTTTTTTTTTTGTTCACACATGCATTCAGTATCTATAAATAGAAGGGTCTTCAGCAGAAGAAGATGCACCAAAGAGCAAGAGAAGAAAAAGAGAGCAGAAATAACATCTAGTTTCTGCGAGTGTTATTTTTCAGTGAGATAAAAATAGAGTGTTTGAGTAAATCCTTTGAGTGTGGGAAAAATACACCGGGTCGGGTATCATCTCTATTACTCCTTGTTTGTAATATCAAAAATAGGAGTGGGGTCTCACTGGGTCACTATATTTTACATTTCTAGTGTAGGGGAGTGTGAAAAGATATTGTAATTATCTTGAAAATATAGTGGAATTGTTCGGAGATTGTCCCGTGGTTTTTTCCTCTACATTGGAGGTTTTTCCACGTTAAATCTTGGTGTCTTATTTCTTGCATATTTTATTTATTCGGGATATTCTTAGTATGCTCTGTGGTTGCAGTTTAATCTGATCTTCCACATCAGAAAAGAATTATTCCTGCTTGATTGCAAGAATTTTTTTTATTCACCATTTCACGTTGGTGTTTTAATTTACATCTTCCGCATTTGTGCATCTGAGTCCACTAAGTGGTATCAGAGCCCAAGTTGGGTTCTGAATCAACCCGTGTAAATTAAATGGAGGAGAACGTGGGTACCATGGTGAAGCTGACAACAACAAATTACTCCATTTGGAAGCCAAAAATGGAGGACATACTTTTCTACAAAGATCTGTATGATCCTGTAGAAAAGGGAGATAACAAGCCAGATGACGTGAAGGATGACGATTGGAAAAAATTACACAGGAAGGCTGTTAGTTTAATCAGACAGTCGGTGGATATCAGCATATTCCATCATGTTTCCACAGAGTCAAAAAGCCCATACTCTGTGGAACAAAATTGAGCAGATGTATCAAAGGAAGACTGCACAAAATAAAGCTTTTATTATTAGAAAGCTTGTGAATTTAAAATATCGGGATGGAAGATCAATTGCAGAACACTTGAATGAGTTTCAAGACATGGTAAACCAGCTTGTTACCATGGAGATGAAACTTGATGAAGAACTGCAGGCGCTGTTACTTTTGAGTTCTTTACCGGATAGCTGGGAGACATTGGTGGTCTCGTTGAGCAACTCTGCTCCTGAAGGAAAACTGACTTTAACCCAAGTCAAAGACAGTATGTTTAATGAAAAAACAAGAAGAAAAGATTCAGGAGCAAGCAGCTCCCAAGCCCTGGTCACAGAAACCAGGGGAAGAAGTAAAAGCAGAGGCCGGAATAACAAAGTCAGAGAGAAATCACAATCTCAACCCAGGAGAAAATTCAAGTGTTATCACTGCGGTGAAGAAGGGCATATCAAAAGAAACTGTAAAGCCTGGAAGAATAGAGATCAGAGGAACAACAAATCAGAGAACGATGAAAATACCGCAACCCCTGTGATCAATGGGGAAGTGGTGTTGCTCTCTGTTGAGGAAGAAGAGTGCCATGTTGCAGATTCATGTGTTGAATGGGTTATTGACTCAGCAGCATCATACCATGCAACCTCTCACAAGGAATTCTTTTCTCTATACAAAGAAGGAGACTTTGGTAGAGTAAAGATGGGCAACGACAGCATTGCAAATATTGTGGGAGTTGGTGATGTGTGCATTCAAACTGATATTGGGTGCACAATAACACTGAAGGACGTGCGACATGTACCTGACTTACGTCTGAATCTGATCTCTGTGCATGCATTGGATCTAGCAGGCTACACTAACAATTTTGGTAGCGGCACATGGAGGCTTACCAAAGGATCATTGTTAGCTGCTAGAGGTACAGTGAGATCGACACTGTACAGAACTCAAGTGAAGCTGATCAAAGGTGGCCTGAATGCAGTCGAAGATGATGCTTCGCCAAATTTGTGGCACAAAAGACTGGCTCACATTGGTGAAAAAGGATTGCAAATTTTGGCAAGAAAGTCCCTCATCCCGTTTGCCAAAGATTCAAAACTAAATCCTTGTGATCATTGTCTCTTTGGGAAGCATCATAGAGTGTCTTTCAGCAAAACCTCGAAGCTGAAAGAGAATGTGTTGGAGATGGTGTATTCTGATGTATGTGGACCCATGGAAGAGGAGAGTCTCGGTGGTAGCAAATATTTCGTGACGTTTATTGATGATGCTTCACGAAAATTGTGGGTGTATTTCTTGAGAACGAAGGACGAAGTTTTTCAGTACTTCAAAAGGTTTCACGCTATGGTGGAGAGACAAACTGGTAAACCTTTGAAGTGTCTTCGCTCAGATAATGGAGGGGAATATACTTCCCATGAATTCAAGAATTATTGTGCTGATCATGGAATCAGGCATGAGAAGACTGTACCTGGAACCCCACAGCATAATGGTGTGGCTGAAAGAATCAATAGAACCATTATGGAGAAAGTGAGGTGTATGTTAAGAATGGCTAAGCTACCTAAGCCATTCTGGGGTGAAGCTGTTCTAACGGCGTGCTACCTGATCAACCGATCTCCATCTGTTCCTTTGGGCTTTGATATCCCTGAGAGAGTATGGTCCGGACATGATGTTAAATACTCTCATTTGAAGGTGTTTGGATGCAAAGCTTTTGCTCACGTAAACAAGGAACAGAGGCGAAAACTTGATGATAGAGCCATTCCTTGTATATTTTTGGGCTATGGAGATGAGGAATTTGGCTACAGGTTATGGGATCCAGAAAAACGAAAAATTGTCAGAAGCAGAGATGTAGTGTTCCATGAGCAAGAAACTATGTCTGATTTTACTTCACCAGAAATCAAAGAACCAGGTGGTAAGGTGGATCTTTCACCTGTAGAACCTCCTAGAGATGCCACAGTAGGGGGAGAGTGTGATGGAGAACTCAGGGTTGATGATGAACCAGCAATTGAAGATGGTGATGGTGAAGGTGTCGAGCAAGAAGACCTCGAAGCTCTGCCTCAGCTCAGGAGATCAAATCGAGCGATCCAACCATCTACGAGGTACCCTAGTTCCACGTATATTACCATCACGGAAGAAGGGGAGCCAGAAAGCTTTGGAGAAGTACAAACTCATAAGGATAAATCCCAGTGGATGAAAGCTATGCAAGAAGAAATGGATTCACTGGTGAAAAATGAAACTTATGAGCTTGTGAAGCTTCCGGAAGGCAGAAAAACCTTGAAAAACAAATGGGTGTTCAAGCTTAAGAAAGATGGTGACAAGTTGTTGAAGTACAAGGCTCGCTTAGTCGTGAAAGGATTTGGACAAAAGCGAGGGATAGATTTCGATGAAATCTTCTCACCGGTTGTAAAGATGAGCTCTATTCGAGTAATACTCGGATTGGTAGCTAGCT